CTTTAAAGGAAAAATGCAACGACAAGACGCTCGAAAATTTGTTGAAATACCAACAACAACACAAACAGTCAACTAGAGTGGATCTCGAGTGGTGGTGGTGACTGTTAAGTGCTTGAAAGGTGGCGACAAAGTCGGGTAGATGCTGGGTTGTGGGGAAATCATGGAAAGACAACAACAGCTTGCTGTCCTTGGCGGCAGCAAGCAGCGAATTGCTATACTCGGCGGGAACCAGGAAGAATAAGCTGTCCTGGGATGCTGGAATGAGGGAGCACAATAGTGGGGTGGCTTTCTGGGGGTGGCGGCAAGTCCGAGAGAGGAGAAGGTGGCTGGGAAGGCGAAATAATGCAGGAAAATATTAATTTCCTGCAGCTCCGAGTGACGACAGTGAAGGAAGTAGGTGGGAAGTGATGTGGGGAGGTTGGGAAAAGGTGGAAGTTTCGTGTGTGGGGTGGCAGCAAGGCTGAGAAGCGAGAGAGGTGGTTGGAAATGGAAGAACTGCAGGAAATAACAACAAAAGCTGCTGTTGCGGGCGGCTGCAGCAAAATACGATGATTGGGAGCAACATGGGGAGAATTGGGAAGGTTATATGAAAGATACTCGACATCTTGGGGGGAGATATACAAACCAGAGCATCACCCAAACCCTTGGATATAATCCTCGAAGGGAGAAGATGGATGTCGGTGGATGGCCTAAACAAGCTTACACCAATAACTCCCAATTCAAACCCTAATACAACACATATATAGGAAATGACTAGAAAGGAGGAAAAGGAAAGTGGAACCCGGGAACAGCGTCGGGTCTGCCCCCTGGAAATGCCCGCGTCATTGAATTTAAGACAAAATGAAGGAGAAAGATGATTCAAGATGTAGGATTTACTGTTGACATTTTTGTTATCATTTGTCACTTGTAGATATATTACAAAAATATTTTTAATTAAGTAGGAAGACTTTTTTACGTGCAAATACGATTTATTCCTCATTAGTTGAATGTCAAAATACTTTATTATATATGAGAACAAAGTAATAAAATTAGGAATTTTATTTAAAATTTTTTATTTTTAAAATGCCCTCAAAATTAATAGTTGGTGTTAATATTAACCATAAAATTTAGTGTAGGGACTAATTTGAATCAATTTTCAGTAATATGGGACTAAATTGGAGCATTATAAAAACTCGAGGAGTAAATTAGCCACTTTTTGATAGTCAGGTGGACTAATTTGGGCTTTTTGTTCAATATGTAAATTCATAGGAATAGTGTACTTTGTTTGTAACACACACACAATGGTTGGTAAGGCCATGAAGTTATTTGTTATGATCTTCATTTGAAACTCACTTATGTCATAATAAATCTTATCATGTTGGCATTGGGGTGAATTTTATACAAGCATGGAAGTTTTTTTTTGGGTTTTAAGCTTGGTTATAGAATTGAACCTACAGTTGGAGTCAGATATTTCCTTCAGGCTGTCTCAAACTTCATCAGATTATTACCCTTGAATTAGCTAATGTATAGGTTGAGCTACGGCCCTTTGCTTGAATCATCTTTACATTAATTAATTGATTATTTTTTTAATATGGTCAAATTGGTTTGCTTAATTTTTATTTTTTAGGAGTTATTTGCAGTAAAATTTTTATGTTTGTTTTCAGAGTCCGTCTACAATTTTTTTTTTCAAGATTTCATTAGTTTACATGTACACTTTCGCTATTTTCAGTAAGATTGGTTCATGCGAGTGTAAGGTGGCACATAATGTGAATATGTAGGCTCTTTTGGGTTTAAGGCCGACTAAGATTTAAATGGAGGGATGTTCAAAAACAGGCGATAGAGAGGAGGGGTGGGAATCATACTTTCCTAGCTCCAAGATTGTGGGTTATGATTGTTTTGAGTTTTCTATCGGGAGGATGAATTCTTATATAGCTATGTTAATTTTCTTAACTTGACAAGCCTTGAGCTTGGATATTTCAAACATGTTATATTTTGTTAAAGTTATCTTATTAGTTTTAGTTATGAATTAACATGAGGATGTTAAATCAAATACAAGAGGCTGTGCTATACAACTTAGATGTGATGGTGAAGGATTAATGTTTGTCCTGGGGATCTTAACTCCAGTATATGCTAAGCCATACATAAGAGTCGAGATTTTGCTAACAATTAATAATTATGGATTGTTGTTGGGATGTTTATCATGATCTGATTAGGGAGTTTGGATTATCATGGCGGAAACTGACGATCAGACGAAAAAAAACTATCTAACTGTTTCATTTCGTAAATAAAATGATCAAAATACAAAAGCATCATTCTATTTAATGAAACTTTAATTTAGAATATTTTATTCATACTTAAACTTTTACAACTGACATAACATAAAAATTAAACTGTAATACCTATCAGCTGAGTTCCTCGGCGTTTGTACACATGCTCTGTAGGATCCATCTATTCTATATAAGATTTTTCTGTAAAATATTACTGATTGAAGGTGTGATTTAAAGTATTAGTGGATAAAATGTTTCTAAATTATTATAATTATCATTTTAAAAATATTTTTGTAAAAAATGTTGTATGCTGTAGAAAGACTATGTGCAGTAAAAAAGAAATATTAAAAAAATATTTTCTATTTACTTTCATTTATTTATGCTTAAATGTATACTTTTAAAAAACATATGTTTACCTTTTCTAAACCCATGAAAAATGTGGACATTTATTTCCATTTTTATTTCGTGCACGGGTTTATCACTTTCCCAACCAGTATTTCCTTCGTTTGATAGTTTATTTTTTATTGCATTTAATATTACATAATATGAACTTTGCATTTTAAAAGAAATGCTGGAAATAGTAAAGATATGCGTAATTATTTTCATAAATAAACAAAATTATTATAAAATAAAAACATATTTATCTACATGTACAATTTATAGTTTGAAGTCTGCTATTCTTTTCCTTAGGTGAAATTGATCCTTAGATGCACTTATAATAACAAATTAGATTTAATTAACTCTTATTCATTTCTAATATTTATTTCTTAATAGTTTCTAACTTTACTAATTTCATTTTCATTCATTTGTAATTTATCTAGTGAATTAGTTAATTGCTGATTTACACACACAAAGATATATATATATATATATATATATATATATATTTATGAGAAGCCCAAGGGCTGATTTTATTGAATTAGAGAAGATACAAAAATGGTGTATGAGAGGGTATTCCCATACGATACAAGTACAATAATACCTCAACAAAAAGATACAGATAGACTTAAAAAAAGATTTAAAAGATGCAGAAAACAAACAAATAGCTAAAAACAAGCCAGTTTAATCCTGTCTCTTCCTCTAGTTTTAGGAGCGAAACCAGATAACAAACTTTGAAGTGTCGTGTTACTGCCAAGAGTAACCAAAGTATCATCCGTTAAGTTTTCAAGTTGGAGTGTGCCCCCAGCCTTCTTTCGCCGAGAAGTGTAAACCTGCCATTCTTCAACTGAAGACTGGCTCTTCATCTGAAGACTGGCTCTTCATCTGAAGACTGGCTCATGTGATCCTCGGTCTGATTAGATATTAGAACTGCCGTAGAAGGAAAGACAGTCGTTGCCACATCGATAGGTTCCAATGTATGTGAAGTGTGAATTGTCACATCTGCACCTGATGCTTCTTGAATAGGAGCTGCGGGGCTATTTTGATTTTTGGTCCAAATATTATTTCTTATAGTATGGTTAGAAGAAGGGTTCCCAGGGGCAATCACATCTGCACTTGATGCTTCCTGAATAGGAGCTGCGAGGCTATTTTGATTTTTGGTCCAAATATTATTCCTTATAGTATGGTTAGAAGAAGGGTTCCTAGGGGCAGACACCAACTCTTATCTTGTGGTGATTCCCTCCTCAGGTGACTGTCATCTGGTTTGCTAGTAGCGTGTTCAGACACGTGGGGTGCACTAACAACATATTTCTGCTTTTGACTATTGGTTCTCAACTGTGGGTGCAATCTGAAATATTTATCTTGTGGGTGTTCAAATATCTTTGTTTCATAATGATTATTTGCAAATAATCATTGTGAGCAGAGTCAAACCAGATTTCTTCTACATCTGGTAGTGTAATGTCCATTTCAATCAAAATCCTAGCAATAGAGGGTCTTGAGAAATGAACTTTAGGTATGTCTATCTGCAAAGGTTTTCCAATGATAGTCCTAATTGCATATAAGATAGGTATGTCAAAGAATTGAAGCTTAAGTTCAGGTAATGAGAACCAGATAGGCGCAATTGGGGGTTCCTGACTGAGATCAAAATCAAGGGTCAATTTGAGTAATTTCATCTTATTGCCGTCGATTGTGATGAATTTTTTTGAGAAAATCCCTGTGTAATCTTTTTCCCAACTAGTTTGAAATCTTCAAAAATCTTTCTGATAATCTCCATCTTAGGGCGACCTAATTGGAACTTTCCAACAAGTGTAAATTTGTATTTTCCTGCACGATTTGAAATTTCAGCGTCAAAAAAGAATATTACTGGTTTGGCCGTCTTTTTTTCTACTTTTTTTGATGAAATTGCAATCTCTATGTCCTACAACAGAATTATGGTACATATGCGGGATCACTATACTATCTGCGAGGTGGAAAGGGGAGCTGCGTTTGTGAATCACTGTAGCATCAGAGGGTTTAGCGTGGTTATCACCGGCGAGATCGGCAGCGGCAGCATAGAAAGACCTGAGACCATTAGCGAGCCTCAGCTGGCGCAGCTTGCCGACTGCGGCTCAATAGAATTGCTGACTTGCTGTCTGCGGGGTCCCGAGTAACTCGGGCGTCGCAAACCCGAACTGAAGTAGTCGTGGTGGGACACACAAAGTATCTGCGAGGTGGAAAGGGGAGTTGCGTTTGTGAATCACTGTAGCATCGGAGGGTTTAGCGTGGTTATCACCGACGAGGTCGGCAGCATAGAAAGACCTGAGACCATTAGCGAGCCTCAGCTGGCGCAGCTTGCCGACTGCGGCTCAATAGAATTGCTGACTTGCTGTCTGCGGGGTCCCGAGTAACTCGGGCGTCGCAAACCCGAACTGAAGTAGTCGTGGTGGGACACACAAAGATATATATATATATATATATAGACACACACACATATGAATATCCAATTTTCTTTTGTCCTGAAATTTCTAATTAAATAATTTAATCATTTTTAATTAAATTAATTTTTTAATTTTTTTAACGATTTAGTAACATTCTTAAACATTTAACCTAGCTTAATATTAAGTACAATTAAGATATAATTATTAAAATAAGTTTTTGTACCTAAAATTTCCTTTTAAGCAGCACAATAGAGAACCCTTTGAATTACTTTTTTCTGCCTCTCAAACATTTGAAATTGCATGAGGGCTTGTGTAAGCCTCACGCCTCCTTCCCATCCTCTCTGTTGTTAAGTTAGGGCACGAGAAACTATTCTCTTGCTTGTTTGAGTATCTCACACGCGCATGAATAAAATGTTTGTGAAACGCTCGAGTTCAGGAAGCCACTCCAACATCTCAAACTTCAAATTGCTCGAGATTGAGTGTCACCACATGCGGAAGGCTCCAGCGAGCTGCTCAAGCGTACAGTTGTGCAGTACAACATCTCGTGCACCCATGAAAGCTTACCGCATGCCTTTTGACCGTCGACGATATTTATTGTTTGTCGATTTCTTTCTCTATCATTCATGCTCTCTATTTCTCTCTAACTACCTCTCGCTTTCTTTCACTCGCTAGTTCGAATGATAGGAAATGAGAGAATAATCTCTTATATATTTTCCTGCGGGCAGTGGAAGTTGCAATCGAACGACAACTGCTTTGTTGGTGGCAGACATCGTGAGTAGGAAATTTTGCATTTTTTTGTTAAGTTAATGTTTTTTTTTAAACAGATAATTATTACAATCTCCCCTAAAAAAAATTTCGTCATTCAAATTTAAAGTATAAGAACGTTGTTCATTCCTCAATTGAAAAGTTGTGGACATCTCTCTCATTGATGACTTTTCTCCCATTTAGTGTCCCCTTTTATTACATGCTTCCAGAATATACGAAGAAAAGGGATCTCTCTATATTTCAGTTACTTCACATCATAATCTATGTTTATTTCTGATTCTTTTATAAAAGTTGAATCAGGTTGAATTTCCATGGGGTCTGTGCTTGCTAGTCTCATCGGCAATATACTCCGCAATAAAGAGATATAGAATACCTTATGTACGCCGTACATATGTGCTGGTAACGCAAGCCTAAAAACAACTTCCCAAATCTTCTTCACATTCTCATACAAATTAATATACGTGGGTATAATTCCCAACATTTTAAAATCGTTTAACACTTTTCATTGGACTGATTTTCAGAAAAACAAATTCTCCTATATCAAATATAAGTAATCAGTGCTCAACACTTTTTGTGTCTGTCTTGAACTTCTTTTAGTCTGTCAGATATCATGTCGGATCGTCTCAATAGTTTCATCAACTACATTCACACCAATTATTTTTCTTTTACTTGTTTCTGCCCTACAAAGAGATATACTGCATTTTCTTCCATATAGAGCTTCATAAGGAGTCATACCAATACTATTTTGGAAGCAATTATTATTGACAAATTCTATCAATGTATGTGCATTTCCCAATTTCCACCAAAATTAAGCGCACAATGTTTAAGTATGTCTTTTAAGATTTTGATCAATCTTTATGATTGACGATCTGTTTGGGAATGAAAAGTTGTGTTGAATGTCATTTCAGTACCCAAAACTTCTTGATTTTTCCTCCATTGTCTAGATGTTATGGTCTCTATCTGAAATAATTAATTCGGGTATTCAACGTAGTCATACAATTATATCAATATAAATTCTAGCCAGTTTATCCACATTATCCATCTGTCTGATGGCCACGAAATATACAGGTTTGGGCAGACAATTAATAATCACCAATATGGCATCACGATCTTGCTTTGATCTTGGTAGATCAATCAATAAAAATCTATAGCAATGTCCACCCATTTTGATTCCGGTATAGGCAATTGTTACAACAAGCCACTAGGCTTTTGATGCTTAACCTTAACTATTTGACAAGTAGGACACCTTGCCACAATTTTTGCTACACTAAGTTTTAACCCTGGCCACAAAAATAAGCCTTTGAGCTCTCAATACATCTTGTTACTTGGATGTATTGTGTAGCCTGAATAATGCATCTTATGTAAGATGTTCTTATGTAAATCATTAACATCAGGAATGTATATTTTATTCTTGTACTTCAACTTTTCTTCATCGATCTACTATTTCTCCTTCTAACCTCCATTCACTCGATCTAATATTTTCTGAAACTCTGCATATTGTGGCAATGCATCTTGTATTTTGTCCTTCAATGTTGGCTAAATTAACATTTGATTAAACTGTATAAAACTCTCCTCATTTGGTGCAACTACAGATAATTGCAAACACTTTATTTTAATTAATTCTTATTGTTGTGTAATTACGTAGTTACACTGTCACTTTCCTTTCTGCTAACGCATGTGGTTCAACATTTGCTTGGATGATAATTTATATTCGAATCATAATCTTCAATGTACTCAAACCATCTCTTTTTACTTTAAATTCAACATCTGTGTGAAAATATACTTCAAAAATTGATGATCAGTGAATACTTTATAGCTGACTCTATACAAATAATGCATCCATATTTTCAAAATAAAAACAATTGTCGCTACCTTCAAATCATGTTTAGGATAATTCTTCCCATGACTTCAATTATCTAGAGGCATAATCAATTACTTTCTTGTGTTGCTTATAAACACATATCCAAATCCTCTTAAAGATACATCACAATAAATTTGAAAGCCTTCCACCCTAGAGGGGGTCATTAATGCTGTATCTGTCATCAAATATATTTTCAATTTCAGGAATGCTTTCGTACAACGATCTGCTCACTCAAATTTCACCGTCTTCTAAGGAAATTTGGATAAGTGTATTGCACTATGAGAGAACTCCTCAACAAATTTCCCGTAATAGCATGCAAAACCTATAAAATTTTGAACTTCTGTAAAAGTAGTTGGTCTGGGCCAATCAGTTATCGCTTTAACTTTATTCCGATCTGCTATGATACCTTCACTGCTGATCACATGCCTTAAGGATGATATGCTGTTCAACTAGACTTCATACTTTGATAATTTAGCATATAATTGATTCTCCTTCAATGTCTATAGAACTATGCGAAGATAATCTGCGTGATGAGCTTAATTACTAGAATAGATTACAATTTTATCGATGATGACCATCACGAACTTATTTAGAAATGATGTAAAAATCTTGTTCATCAGGTCCATAAAAACTGCAAGATCATTTGAAACCCAAAAGACATTATGACAAACTCATAATAACTATATCTGGTACTGAAAGATATGATTGCCATGCCATCTTCTTTAATTCTTAGTTGACGATAACCTGATCATAGATCAATTTTTGAAAAGTTAGATGCCCTTCCAATTGATCAAAAAGGTCATCAATTCTTGGTAATGAGTATTTGTTCTTAATTGTGAGCTTGTTTGATTCTTGATAATTAATACATAGCTTTAAGCTCTCATTTTTCTTCTTAATGGAAAACGCTGAAGCTTCCCAAGGAAAAGTACTTTGCCTGATAAATCCCTTTCTCCAGTAAGCCTTTCAACTAACTTTCTAGTTGTTATAACTCCTTAATTACCATTCTTTAAGGTGCCTTTGCCACTGGTTCTCATCTGTTATTGAATCAATAGAGAAATCTTTCTTTCTTCCAAGCCTAACAAATATTCTAGCTGTTATTGAATCAATAGAGAAATCTTTCTTTCTTCTTGGAATCAAGCCTAACAAATATTCTAATAAAACTTCTGGGTACTCTTTTACTATTGCTATACCCTTCAATTTCTTTGCATCTTTTGCAATGTCACTGACTTGAGCTAGAAAGCCTTGATGACCTTGTGCTAACAGTTTGTAGACGTTTAAGCAGGATATCATTATGGATTGGACTCTTCTATCTCTTCTGAACTTGAATTCTTCTTCTCCAATGATATTGAATTTCACTACCTTTTTAGAACAATCTATAGTTGTAAAATAGCTAGATGGTCGATCCGTCCATAGAATAACTTTGAATTTAGTCAGTGGCAACGCTACGCAATTTGTCTTGAATCTTTTATCACTAATTATCTGATTCACACAACTTCTATCAACCATTGTATGAGAGCCATTAGGGCTATAGTTGTAAAATAGCTAGATGGTCGATCCGTCCCCAGAATAACTTTGAATTTAGTCAGTGGCAACGCTACACAATTTGTCTTGAATCTTTTATCACTAATTATCAGATTCACACAACTTCTATCAACCATTATACGAGAGCCATTAGGTAAAATAATTTATAAGGCATCAAGTATCCAGGATAAGTCCGATCCTTAATGCCTGACAAGTTTTTCAAAGAGAAACGAATGTGATGCCCTATTATCAAATGAAGTTATGATCAATTTATTTGTGATAAATAGAAAATCTATAATAAAGAGAATATTAATCTTAAATTTACTATCAATTTGACAGATGTACAACAACAACAACCACAATAGTCTTTTTCGCACTAAGTGGGGTTGCTACATGAATCTTTTTTCTCCATTGTGTCCAATTGAGTGTCATATTTACATTTAACTCTGATAGATTAAGATCATTTTTATACAACATGCCTACTTCTTTTTAGGTTTATCTCTTATCTTTTTTACCAAAAGTCAAAACTAAAACATCTAACTCTCCTAATCATATCATCAGATAGTCGACGTTTAATGTGCCAAAT